AGACAAATGTTAGAATTAACAGACAAGAATATTAAAACAGTCACTATAACTCTATTCCCTATGTCCTAGAAGCACAGGAAAGATTGAACATGTTAAATAGAGAAATGGAAAATATTAAAGTGATCCAATAAAAAAACTTCTGGGGATAAAATCTACAATGTCTGAGGTGAAAAATGCACTGAATGGGATTTACAGAAGATTCAACATTGTAGAAGAGAAGATTAGGGAACTTAAAGACATAACAATAGAAACTTTCAAAATGAAACACAGAAAAAAGAAATGAAAAAAAGAAATAAACACAGCATCAATGGGACAACTTCCAATAGTCTAATATAGGTATGATTTCAGTCCCAAGAGGAGAGGAGGTAGAAGGAGGGACAGAAAATTTTTTGAATATAATGGCTGAAAAATTTCCAAATTTGATGGAAACTAAACTCACAGACACAAAAAACTCAATAAATTCCAAACACAAGAACATAATAGAAACTACAACATGCACATGATAATCAAATTGCTTTTAAAAAGTGATAAAAAAAAAAAATCTTTAAAAAAAAAAAAGAGGAAAAAAAAGAGAAAGGGAGTACATTTCTTGTCAGAAATAATGCAAGCCTGGAGACCCTGGAGCAACATATTGGGAGTATTGAAAGAAAAAATGCTATCAACCTAGAGTTCTACACAGCAAAAATTGTTCTTAAAAATAAAGGAGAAGCTAGAACAACTGGCATTCACATGTAGAAAAATGAATCTAGAGAAAAAGCTTAGATCTTTCACAAAAAATAAATGGATCAAGGTCCTAAATGTAACACATAGAGCTATACAACTTCTAGAAGATAACATAGGAGAAAATCTAGGTGACTTTGGCTTTAGCAATGACTTTTTAGATACAATCACAAAAGTATGATCCCAAACCATAAAATAAAAAACATATAAGTCAGACTTTATTAAAATTAAAAACTTCTGCTCTGTGAATGATACTGTTAAGAGGATGAAAAGACAAGCTACAGACAGGGAGAAAACATTTGCAAAACACGTATCTGCTAAAGGACTTGTATCCAAGATATACAGCAAACTCTTAAAACTCAACAATAAGAAAACAAAACAATTCAACTACAAATTAGGCAAAAGATCCAAACAAGAACTTCACCAAAGAAGATATATAGAGGGCAAATAAGCATATGAAAGATGGTCAACATCACATGTCATTAAAACCCAAACCAAACCATTGCCCTCAAGTCAATTTCGACTCCTAGCAATCCTGTAGGACAGAGTAGAACTGCCCCATAGGGTTTCCAAGGAGTGGCTGGTGAATTTGAACTGCCACCCTTTTGGTTAGCAGCCGTGGCTCTTAACCACTGGCCACCAGGGCTCTGATAGGTCATTACGGAATTGCAAATTAAAACAACAATGATAGACCACTACATACTTACCAGAATGTCTAAAATCCAAAATACTGACAGCATGTCGGTTTCTTAGAAAACTAAACATAGGTTTGGCATAAGATCAAGCAATCATGCCCCTAAGTATTTTTCCAAAAGAGATGAAAATGTATGTCCGCATAAAACCTATACATGAATATTTATGGCAGCTTTGTTGATAATTGCCAAAAAATTGGAAATAATGAAGATGTCCTCCAATAGGTAAATGGATAAACAAACTATGGCACATCCATACAAGGGATAAAAATAAATGAGTTATCAAGCTATAAAAAGACGTAGAGAAACCTTAAATGCGGATTGCTAAGTGAAAGAAGCCAGTCTGAAAAACTACATACTGTATGATTCTCAGTATATGACATGCTGGAAAAGGCAAAACTATAGAAATAGTGAAAAGATCAGTAGTTGCCAGGGATTCCGGAGTAGGGGGTAAGGAATGAATGGGTAGAGCTAGGGGTGTTTTTAGGGCAATGAAACTGTTCTGTATTATACTCAAATGGTGGACACATGATGTTATGTATTTGTCAAAACCCATAGGACTATACAACACAAAGATGAATCCTATATGAACTTTAGTTAATAGTAATGTATCGATACTGGCTCATGAATTGTAACAAATATCCCCCACCAATGCAAGATGTTAATAATCAGATAAACTGTGTGCAGAGGGGAATAGGGTATATGGGAACTCTGTACTTTCCACACAATTTCCGCAAATCTAAAACTGCCCTAAAAAACAAAATCTATTTAGAAAAAGAAAGGTTTCTTAGAGAAGAAAGGCACCTCAGAAGAAAGGCCTGGAGATCTACTTCGGAAAAAATCAGCCATTGAAAGGTCTGGAGATCTACTTCTGAAAAAATCAGTCACTGAGTTATTTTTTGTGAAATATCTACTCTGACATACACGGGTAGGCATGAGTTGGAATCAAGTCAACATTTTCTATATATTGGCTGTTTATATATTGATTGTGATTAGTGTCCATTTTTAATTATGAAAATATCACATTTAAATTAATGTTGCTTACTTCATGTTTTATAACTTCTTGCTGCTAAATTCTGCCCCAACTACAAGTTTAGAGTTCTTCATAGAGCAAATGCTCAGTAAATTTATGTTAAACAGATAGCAGCCTCTGTTGCCAAAAATACAGAAGTATGATTGGCCGAAAGATTAAACACTGTTTTCCTAAAGCAATGTCTGAGGAGACTTTCTAAAGCTTAGGTTATTCCTATCACTTTCTTTTTCACAGTTTCACAGGAGTTGCTGGTTTACTCCAGGGCATAAACTCCATAGCTTGTGAATGTAATAAATGTGATAAAGAAAGCCCCAAATTAGGTGGCTCCCGGTGATGCAGTGGTTAAGCACTGGCTGCTAATGGGAAGGTCAGCAGGTTGAACCCACCAGCTGCTCCGCGGGCACCAGCTGCTCCACGGGAGAAAGATGTGGCAGTCTGCTTCTGTAAAGCCTACAGCCTTAGAAACTCTACAGCACAGTTCTACCCTGTCCTACAGGGTCGCTAGGAGTCAGAATCTTGACAGCAACAGGCTTGGTTTTTGTGTAGAAAGTTGATTGGATGATGTGTTCATATTTGGCCATAAGGGGGAGCCAGCTTCTTTGGTAAACCTCAACAACCAGTGAGAAAGTGCCACTCTGCTCCGAGTTACTGTGGCTGAAGTCCAAAAACAGCATCTCATTTGACAGATTGAGATTTCTTAGGGGAAAAAAAAAATCTTAAAAAATATTTTTTTAAATTTCTTCAAAAATCCCAAAGTTCCTAGACAGATGTATATTTTCTAAGCTTTTCATTTGGCATACTGCTTGTTTGGGTTGTAACTATCATCATGTATTCTGCAACTATTTGAGTGAAGGAAATAGAATCAATGGTAGAAACAAATGTGAATTCGGGGGTTCCAGCTATCCAGATACACTGTACTGTATATCACATTAGGATTTTTTCTAGTGTCTAACCATTATTAACAAATTTCACTCACTTGTAATAACATTAAATAGGATGACTAATGCATCTAAACAGAGAAACACAGGACTCTGGTAAACAGGAAAATAGAAGGAACTTTTTAGAAATCCCATTTTAAAAAGGCTGCAGAGGCTCCTTGTCCTTCAGATACCGAACTGGGAAGGACTCTATTGTCTCTTTGGATGACTTCACCTAAGCCTACAGTGACTGCCATAGTTTTCATAATTTTCCCCTAATATCGAGTCTTTCAATGGATTATTCTCTTCCTCTTAGAGTCTTTTAGTGACAAGAACTCTCTCTTCTGGGGTGATAATAAATAACCTAACCAGCTGGTCATAATGGAAAAATAAAATAATCATTCAACTTAAATTTATGCGAATATTTGTAACTATTCACTGTCTTAATAATATGGCTTAATAGATTAAGTGGGGCCCTAGTTGCGCAGAGGTTAAGAGCTCAGCTGCTAACCAAAAGGTCAGCAGTTCAAATCCACCAGCCGCTCCTTGGAAACCCTATGGGGCAGTTCTACTCTGTCCTGTAGGGTCGCTATGAGTCAGAATTGACTCGATGACAATGGGTTTGGTTTTTGATAGGTTAAGTATAGAATGAACCAAAGATAAATGTTGATCTTTCCATTATTTTAGGCAAAGAAATATGATCCAGACCATTCTCCCCGTGTTCTACAAAGAGGTACTAGTTTGTAAATTGTATTGCTGTTATTTTAATGGAGTATAAGAGTTTATGAAAGACCATGAACCTAAGTCCTAAAAAAGGAAAAAAATTCAACACAAACTAACCAAAGAAAAAGAGAATGTAAATTTTCCAACATTTTCTGCCTAACCGACTAGCTCAAGCTCAAAAATACCACTGTACTATGTGCTGGAATTTGGGTTACGGGGCACTTAATGGACCCAAGAAGAAGACATCCTAACTTTTTAATAAAAAATCAACCTTAAACTGCCCAGTGTTAAAGCCTCTATGACCGGGACTCCCAAGGGAAGAAAGTTCTTCTCCATCTGGCATCCCAAGAACTACCCTACTTTGCACCATCTGCAAGGCAAAACCACAGGAGGCTCGAGAAAATGTATGTGGAGCCCAAACAAAGTCACAGGAAAGATTCAACATTCCTCACAGAAGCAATTTGATTAACATTGCACAGAGCCCAGCTTTGTTCCCCCCCCACTCCCCCGCACTGGTCTATTATCATTGTGGATGCTTTTGTAGAAATGTGGTCACTTTTATCTTCTTAGTTAATTCCCCATTGCTTCCTGTAACAATGACATTACTGTGACTTCAAATAATTTTGGTACTGAGGAAGACAAACCCCCCTCTTTATTTTTGTTGGTTGGTTTGTTTTACCCAAGACTATGCTTTGAAAAGGGTACGACTATAAAACTGAAATAAATAGATAAGAAAAAGACAGTCTAAAAACTCCTATTAGGGGGGTTTCAAAAAGAAAGAAAGAAAAACAGCAGTCTAGAATAGTGCCTGGCACACAGTTGGTGCCCAAGAAATATTTGTTAAATAAATGAATGGATTACTTGGAAATCATATCATGAGGGAATGATTATATGTATATTGCTGTACATACTTACGCAGTGACTCAGTTTCTGCCTAAGGCTACAGAAGTCGTCCACAAAGTGTATTTCCTTGCAAACTTGTAATTGGAGGTGGCCAAAAACATCTTCCATGAAAAAGGACCGAAGTTGTTCTTGAAATTGGCAATTTTTCTATAAATAAGATACAAGACATTGCATAAAGTAAACCATTAATAGTTTTATTTTTTAAATGTCACTGACACATCCCCCTGATTACTGTTTAATGGGCATCTGGAAAAAAAAAACTGCAGGAAAAAAAGCATCAAATAAGTAGAAAAGTGAAAAAGAAAAAGACTCTCTGGCTTACCATAAACAGCTTTTTTGTTTTCTTTTTTAATAGTCTTATATTTTTGATGCTGTCTTCCTAGAATTAAAAAAAAAGAGAAATAAGTTTTATCCAAGATTATGAGTGTTCTAAGCAATGTCTGATACTTACTGGAATTGTTGCTTTGAGCCACGCTGCCTTGACAAAAAGGCTGTCCACAGCTTGGGTCAAGGTCACTTTTGAGCAGCAACTTTTGGTGAAGAAAGATTGCTTGTGCTTGGCAATGGCAAAAGACAGAGTGACAAATAGCAACCCAGACCTCAAAGTGCAATTCACCCACATTTCCCTCCGCCCCACTCTGGGTTTATGTCACTAATAGCAGCCAGAGAGCTGCCTGTGTTGGTTAGATGAGAGATGACCTACTTACTTTAGCCCTCAAAGCCACCTCTCCAATGATGCTATGACAGATAACTTACAGTTAATATACAAGAAGGTCACTTTGTTTGCTCTATTTTTTAGAACTTGCTTTATAATCAAAAAAAAAAGTGGACCACACCATTTGTGACGTTAAGTAAGAGCTCAAGTTTACTGGTAAGGTTGGGCTACTGTTTCAATAACAAAAAAAAATTCAGAACTTCAGCTGCGTATCACAACAGATTTCATTCTTTTAACGCTCATGGCATGTCATGCCAATGAAACAGCCTGATCTCTAGGAGACCATGGATATATATATATATATATATAAATTTAATCCCCATATGAAAAATCTCCTTCTCAGAAAACTTAAACCAAGGAGGAGAATGGCAAACCCTCTGTGACCTGCTCATAACTCCAAATGGTTTTATATTTATCCCTTGCCAAATCCATTTTCTGGCTCCACCTCTTCCCCTATTAACAAATGTTTATTAAGGACCTATCTATGCAAAAAACTGTGCTAGGTACTACGGAGCCACCAAGGAGAATGCCCCATGGACTCCCATCTTTAATTCTGTCCCAATTCTCCCTATGCCAATGAGTGTGGTTTATGTCAGGTATCATCCTCAACATAAGAGGTAGACATAGCAAAGAAGCAGAGACTGGTCACCACAGCATAGCATGAATAGAGCTACATAGTAACAAGGGCAAATCAACATTAGGAATCTGGTTGTGAGTTCTGAGAGATTCTTCAAGACTAGGTAAGGTTTGAGATCTAGCACTAGAACCCGAGACTAAGCTCTAGATCAAGGTACGTAAGACTGCCAAAGGAGCAAAGAAAAAGAAAAGAAGTATAAGGTGAAGGAGACAATAACTTAGGGGTGTGTTCTCCTATTTCATAAAGGGAGTAGGTCTCTTTGAAGGCCCCAAGGCTTTTTTCCACAGGAGGACCTCTTCTGGTCTTAAAGGAGAGGTTTGGTGAAGGACACACCCCGTCAAATGAAACGAGAACTGCTCACAAAGAGCTACAACAGAACATAGCTGCTGGGAAGTGCGAAATGAGGTCCACTAAAATTTTGTTAAAAAAAAAGGGGGGGAATTATTTTTAGAGTAGCTTAAGGGATGTTTGAACTGGGACATGAAAAACCTAAACGTATTTGAGCAGAGGAATGCCTAGTATTCAAAATTCCATAGAAAGAAAAGAATGTGAACACCAGGAGTCAAAAGCTCAAATGCTGTCAGAGGGCGTGGGATTAACACCCTGAGTGGGTGTATATAGACAATCAGAGCCAAATTGCTTATATTGCCACCAAGCCCAAAATCTGCCTAATTACATAGCCTATTAATACACTTGTGGGTGCAGTAAAAAAGACCACACAAAATACCTCCAGGAGCCATGTACAGTCTTGAGCAGCCAATCTGTGGTCCCTGATGTGTACAAACAAAACTTACGTGCAACTCAAACTGCAAATACTGATAAATGAAGTTGCTGTAGGTCCTGGCTGTTTTTTAATCTCCAGTAGTTGCATTTCTATAAATGTCTTCTATCCCTCAAAATCATCATCACCCAAGGAAGATCATACATAGTCCAAAGATGCCTCTGCTTTGGTTTGGTTTACAGCTACTTCAGGAAAACTGTGGTCATTTCTTTTTGTTCTAGAAACTATATCTCTCTGTTGATCATACTCATCCTACACCTTAGTCAGCAGACTTGCCTCCTTAAGGTCTTTTAAACAGTCACATCTGGCTTCAAAGGACAATAGCGACGAATACAAAAGATACTCAAAACACAGATCCTGAAGCCAATTCTAAAGGGGAGTTCCAAAAGGGTCCTAAGTAACAGGAGAACCATTAGAATAAGTACTTAATATCCTTGGGGGCAATAATTTGAAAGATAATTCTCTACTCATTTGGATGTATGTTTATTATATCATTTTCACATATCTCTTATACAGAAATGTATAAAAATCAGTATTAATTGCAGAGACATTTGGTTTTGAAACTCAGATCCACCACTTATTAGTTGTATGTCCTCGGGAAAGTTATGAATCCTCCCTAAGCTTCAGGTTTTTTCAAAATTAAAATGAGGCAATAATTATATGTATTTCAGATGATTGTCATGAACAAAATATATATATATATATATATACTCATATAAATAGAGTGCTTAGCACAATGACAGCTGTAGAGGCACTCTGGAAGTGGTAGCTGTTGCATTATTATTTATCAAATAATAAATGCATGTGCAGTACTCTGAATAATGTTAAAGTTAGTTATCTTGAGCCTTCAGAACCTTTGAGAAATAGATGAAGAAATGAGGAAACTGAAGAATGAGCAATGATCTGACAATATTTTAAAGAGTACATGGGCATGAGGAATTCAGTTTATCCCACACAAGTCCAGACAGCAGACTAAGACCTTTAAGTGGATAGTTTAGGGAGGCTGCTTCTGTGTAATGTATGGGAGAACATTCTAACAATCGATCTACCCAAAAACATAATTGAGAGCCGCAATTCCCAAGCACTGGCATGGCAGTTATTTTCTCTTAAAATTCAAGTCCTCTCCCACCCAAAAGAACCCTAGCTGCCATATCTGATGCCCAAGCATATTCAATGAGCGAAATGAGCAGAGAACTACAGGTCTCTTTGAGCTCTCTGTGGCTTACCTTTGTATCTGTTCTACGGGAGAAAAAAAAATTGGGATTCCTAACCTTAGTTGCTCTGAATACAGAGTGTGTCTTACATGCAGTCTTACAGTTGCAGTTACCCAGTCAGCAGTCCAGATGCAGTTGTCCCTTCCTGTGCGGTCACCAACTGGTTCATAACTGTTAATGATGCCATCACTTCAATTGAACTGTGTGCATGCTTTTACTACAGGTGTTGAGTTTAATTGCTGTTTTAATGTGTCTTCAGAAAAATGACAGTATAATTCAGCATTGAAAGAAAAGTTACTGTGTTCACAGAAAGACACAGAGCAGCAGTGGGGTCTGAATTTGATACATTGTTGCTGTCAGTTGCTGTCAAATTGGCACTGACTTCTGGTGACCCCATGTACCACAGAATGAAATGTTGCCCAGTCCTGTGTCATCTTCATGATCGTTGGTATGCCCAAGTCCGTTGTAGTGGCCACTATGCATTTTGAGTGTCTTCCAACTTAGGGGGCTTATCTTCCAGCACTGTATCAGACAATGTTTTGTTGTGATCCGTAGGGTTTTCACTGATTAATTTTCAGAGGTAGATTTTCAGGCCATTCGTCCTAGTCCATCTTGGTATGGACGCTCCATTGAAACCTGTCCGCCATGGATGACGCTGCTAGTATCTGAAATACTTGTAGCATAGCTTCCAGCATCATAGCAACATGCAAGCCACCACAGTTCCACAAACTGACAGATGGGTGGTGGAAATTTTGATGCTATAAAAGTAAATATTTGTCTTTGAAGGAATGAAAAAAATTACATATTTTCTTGCAAAGCAATAACCAAGTGCTAAATGTTAAGAAAGCATTACATCATAGTTTAATTAGCAGTGCTTTTTCTCCTTTCTTAGTAGTAAATAAATAATGGTGAAACTTCCAACAAGTGACATCTTAAATTCATTGAAATACAATTTAATATTTCATAGGCTGGTTGGAGGAAGGTAATTTTTATATCCTAAAATGGGGGGGGGGCATAACTAAATGCTTCATATTATATTTGAAGACCCTGAAAGGATTAGAGGAGATAGTAACTGGTGTTTACACGGGGCAAGAGTAGTGCCTACTCTGACCAGCCAGACTAAGTCTTCAGAGAAAGTGGTATTGCTCCATGTTACAGAGAAAGAATCCAAATAAGGCTCAGGGAAGTTTAATCATGTGCCCAATGGCACACAGCTTGTAAAAGGCAGAAGATTCCAATCTATATGGGATGCCAAAGCCCATGTGTTTCCCACTATCTGTGCGGCCTCTCACCACACTGCAGAGTAGGGCTCAGGGAAGATTTGAGGCTTGTGGGTGGACACTACAGAGAATAAGAGACAAAGGAGTGACCTAAGGAAAAAAGAAGGGATGCAACAAAAGGAAAGAACCTAAGGAATACTAAAACTTACATTTTTGTGACATTTTATAGCCCTTGCATATACATTATAACAATATCTAATTTCACACAGTACTTCACAAAGCAGGTTGGTGGTTTGAGTCCACCCAGAGGCATCTCAAAAGAATGGTTTGGCAATCTACTTCCAAAAAAATCAGCCATTAAAAACCCTATGGAACATAGATCTACTCTGACACACATGGGGTCACCATGAGTTGGAGTCAACTTGATGGCAACTGGGTTGGTTTCGGTTTTCACAAAGACATTCCCTTACTTAGTCTTCCCAGCACTTCTGTAAGGGGTAGAGGAAGTCTTATTTGCTCCAGTTGACTATGAGAAAGCTGTGACTGAGAGAGGTTAAGTGACATGCCCAAGGTCACTGTTATGGATTGAAATATGGTTCCCAAAAATATGTGTTGTAAATACTAACTCCTGTACCTCTGGTTATAACCCCATTTAGAAATGGGCTTTCTTTGTTCTGTTACTGAGGCAGTAGGGTGTGTCTTAAATCAATCTCTTCTGAGATATAAAAGAGCAAATTAGGCTCAAGAAAAAAAGGAAGCACAACTGTGGGAAGATAGACGCCATGTCGCATGAAGATCACCGTGCTCACCAAGGAACAGAAGCTGAAAAGCGACAAGAACCTTTCCCCAGTGCCAACAGAGAAAGAAAGCCTTCCCTTAGAATCAGCACCCTAAATTTGGACTTGTAGCCTCCTAAACTCTGAGAAAATAAATTTCTGTTTGTTAAAGCCACCCACTTGCAGTGTTTCTGTTATAAAAGCACTAGATAACTAAGACAGTCACCAAGGTAAGAAGTAGCAAACCTGGGCCTGACTCATGTCCTTGAACTACAAACCCAGTGGTCTTTCCACTGTACCATCTT